ATTATAAGTGTCCTACAATATTAATTTGTTTTATATGACGTAATGTATTTTAGAAATAATCACTAATAATAATCAATAATATTCTAATTTCATTATTCGATAATGTATAGAATAAGCTATTATTTAGGATGTAATTATTCAATTAAATTAAAGTAAGCATTACGTAATTATCGTGGGTTTAATTCAATTGTTCAAGAGAATATAGCATACAGCAGACAGATGTGTAAACGTTAAGATATTCCGTGGGAGGATAATTACGGAGATATCTTTAGGCAAATGTAACGAGCATTATTGTTATTATACGTTTACCGGAAGTGAAGGTACCATGCATGTACAATTTCCGAGACTTTCCGACATCCCTGTGGAGTGTATTAAATTATGTTAAATGACTAAGTTGGCTATGAATGGGTCTAAATTTACGACCAAACAACGAAGTGTTTCGGTTGTTATTCTATATAATTACTAATTTTCTTGAGACAAATGACTAAAATGACTAACCAGAAATATTTTTTACCGCGATGATTTGGCTTGATAAACACAAGAAAGGAGTGCCCAACGGATGTATGAATTTGATTTCCATTCACTTACATAAATGCAAACCTTCCGGGAGTCATGCAGCAAGATAGTTCCCTCTGTACGTTGTTCTTAGATTCAACTAGGAAGTGAACGCAAAGTATACTCCTGCTAGGAGAGACGTTTCCAGACGATACATTTTTTGATACATCAGAATGAAAGTACGAAACACAACGCCCCGTGAAAGGGTTCCGGCCAGAACACTGATCGAAAGACATTCAACATTCGACTGTGAAAGGCGACGTAAAATAATCTTTAAAAATTAATATCCGATACTCAATAACTGATGTTCAATAAAATAAAAAATTATGATATACAAGGGGTTTGTTGCATCTACAATATTAATAGCAAAAGAATAGTTTTCGAAAAATTTGGGTTAAATAAATTTACAACCTTATGCAAGTAAATGCATATCTTATCTTATCTTATCTTGTTTTTAAAATCTTATCCTCAATTCTCTAAAACAAATGTAAATATTAATGCCAGTGAAGATGGGGGGACAAATTAAAAAAATATTTTTACATTTAAAAAAATATATTATATTTAAATAATATTGTTTAAAAAATATGTTAAAACGATATTAGGTGAAAATGGACCAAAAAATATTCAACACAAATAAATACCTTATTCAGTCAATGCAAGTTTTGGTATTTAATAATGTTTTTGTATAATTTTTTTATAATTTCCGATTCAAGCAAATTGTGCGCCTTTTGTCTTGTTAGTCTTAAAACACAGTCTAGACTGAAACTGGAGTATGAGTATTATAAATTATAAATTGACAAGCAATTTAATATTACTGATAACTAAGAATACATTTTAATAACTAATTATACTATTATGCAATTATTTATCAATAGTATATAATTATTTATCAACGGTTTACAATTACTTACCGTATATCTTTATCCTTGCTTATTAAATACATAAGGTGTTTAATATCTTGCAAAAGGAAACGATTAATTAAAAAATAATGATTACAACTTTCAAAAACATTTACTAACGAATCATTAACAATGTTATAATGTTTTAGTTTTTTCATAATCATGAAATTCTACTTTTTGGTTAATTATTCACGTGGCTAGTTCATCATACACGAAAGGAAATGTATTTCAAATGCTTGGAGAAACTTCGTGACTTTGAAACGAAGACCATCTCAATTAATGTTCACGATAGAATGATATTGCTAATTCGCTCTCATAGAAAATTGGACGAACTTACGGCCGCTGAAACTCACGATCTGTCACTCATGGGAGTTTAGGTCCGCGCTCTAATTTGATCTCAATTAGTCGGTATATACTAATGTCGTTACAAACGGGCACTGACCTACAACCTCTGATATTGGAGAAAGTATGAATTTGGTCGTATCTTTTTAAACATGACAGAAATTACGTCGTTGAAATCAATTAATCTTCATGTGTATTTTTTATTATTGTATCAAATAATGTAACCTAAAGTCTTTTTGTATCTATTATTACTATATAATAAATATTTACATAATATTAATTCAAAATTTGCGATTCAGAATAAGGTAAGAAATAGTAGAAATATACACAAACGCACGCGCGCGCGCGCGCGCACACACACACACACACACACACACACACACACACACACACACACACATATAATATATATAACTCTATGAAAAAAGATTGTTTAATAAACATTTAATTAAAAAAAAATTGAGATAGAAATACGATAGAAATTTTAGTTAAACAAGTTAAAAATTTCTTTTGAATGGAGAGGTAATGCACTAGAAGATTTCTCATAATGTTAGAGGAAGAGAGAGAGAGAGAGATAGAGAGAGAGAGAGAGAAGGAAAGAAAGAGAGAAAGAGGGAAAGAGAGCATTGCTATGGATTCATAATTCTTCTTCAAGAAATTTAAATAACGAGCAAATCGTCAATAAAAATACGCCGGAAACGTGGAAAAAGGAAGCTTGCAAAGGAAGTTTACGACGGGAAGGAAAAAAGACTTACAGCGAAAGTAAAGTTCAAAGTCGATTTGCTCCGCCGACAATCACCACGATCGCGTTGTGCCGCAAAAAGAGGAACCGCCCGTTGGTGATTGTATATTAAAACGCTCCTTCCTGATTTATACTAGCCTCAGGTTACCTATTCATACGGATGTAATGCGTGTATCTACAAATGTACTCAATCGATTGGCTTTCTCATATAATTGAAGGGAGCCGATTTCTTCCCGCAACATAGAGCAATCGTGTACAATTATAAGTGTTATAAGCTGCTTATAGTTTACTTTAAAATAATATACATGCAAAGTTGTATTACATTGTATTTATTATAAGATCACAAAAGTCCAAGTGGAATAAAGTAATCTAGAATCAGCTCCTTTCTGCTCATGTAGCTTTTGCTGTTTGCTTCTTAGAATTTTCATGTCATTGAGGTACGAACATTAAGATGGTTTAACGGATATTACGACTTAATCAGAGATGATAGTACGTAGTAAATGTGTGGAATGGTAAGGTTTATGCGACCGCAATCATTTCAAGTACTACCCAGACATCAAAGTGCTTCGAGTGGTATGACGTTTTTTGTTACGTGTCGCGAGAGATCACTCTTCCTCCTTTTACAACGACCAAGACCACCATCATCATCGGAGAAAGATTAAATCTACAAGACTTCCCTTTCGCTGCTACTTTAAATCACCGTTGTGCGTTCTCTATCATTGTTTTGTATTCTTTGGTATGTACAGAAAGAAGGCATTTGTTGTTACATAATTTTTTTAATTTAAAATTCACTTCGACTTTATGTTTGCTATCTATCTCTGCTTTGTGTTAGGGTGTCATGTAATTATAATATATTCTATATACCGCATGCCGGAGTCTTTTCACTTTCAGCTACCTTAAAGGAATGAAAGATGGAATTTGCACTACACTTTCGCCATGTTGGTTTTGCCCACTTGAGATGCTCTGTTATTTCCGTCTCGCTTTTGCAAAAACAAAATTGCATGAAAGTATTTATTATATAAATTTAAGTAAAATTATTGAGAAAATATAAGAAGAAATAGAAAATGCAAGGAGAAATATAAAGAAAAATATGAAATGCAATATAACATGCAAAATGATATTTTTTTGACAATTTTACTAAGTCTTTGCGTGTAGTAAACATTATGAGTATCTGCGAGACATTAAAATTCAATCAATTCTTAAGTAACTTGACTAAATTATTTTACATTAACTACTTTACTTGGACTTCATATTTCAGAATAGACAGATTATTTTTATGAACATTTTTATGTAATTTTCGATCAGTATAAACTATTTCAGAATCAAAGGTTAAATGAAAAGGAGCATACAGCCACACTTTAAATACCTAGCGCCTTCCCGGTCCTAGTGTTAAGATGTTGAACTACTATCCAATATACATTCAATTAAATTGAATTAATTCTGAAATATTAATTCAATTTAATTGAATGTATATTGGATAGTAGTTCAACATCTTAACACTAGGACCGGGAATACTAGGTATTTAAAGTGTGGCTGTATGCTCCTTTTCATTTAACCTTTGTAATAATTAAAGCCACTTTCTAATATTTAAAATATTTCAGAATCGTTTGAATAAAAAACGTCTTCGACAAGATATATAGGCAGTTGTGGAAAAAGGAATAAATCGCGAATTTCCGTTCTCGCACTTTCATTTTCACATTAGATGGTATCAATCACGTAACTTTTCCGAATCATGCGCGTTTAGTGATCATGTAGACTTAACGTTTAGCGAGAATTATTCGAACGGTGAATTTTTTATGTCACTTATTATCAAATTGACTAATCGCAATTGTGTTAGCATGCAACCAACCATTTGGCAAATTAATATGTTTTTATAATGTGATTTTATACTTAGGTGTAAGTATCTTTCTTATGATACTTGGAAAATTCATAGATGGCTATATACAGTCATGAAAATAATGAGTACGATATTCTCGGAGCGTCACGTTGCTAATATCTCATTTGAATTTAGCACGAGATTTTAAATAGCGGGTCTCGAATCACCATGGTGTTATTATTTAAATTATATTCCGCAGTTTTTTGCTCGTCAGTTTAATCTTTCATAAAACAACATTGATTGGAAAAAGGTATAATTTATGTTGCCTTTAGCAGATTTAATATCCGACAAGCACTATAATAAAGCACATTGAATAACTAAGTACCTTTTATATAAATGTTTTTGTTTGTTAAATGTAATTATCAAATTTAAATCTTGTCTTTTCCAATTATCGTGAGAAAAAAATGTCCATGATATAATTATATAAAAATTTGTATATATAAACAATTTTTTAATAAAATCTTACAGTAAGTAATAACTACAATTCTGGGATAATAAAATAAAAACAAAATTTTTAATCTATTAATGCAAATATTTTAATAAATAATTGCACTGTGTTACAGTATTGCAAAATATTAGTCTCCTCATATCGCGTATATATTTTCTATTAAATATATAGAATAAATCAATAAGGAGAAATCGTAAAGCAAGATTCAATGCTTGACTTTATGCACGATGGTCTTGTAGATCGGAATCTTGATTGGAATCGGTTTTTCGACTGGTACGGGCACGTGTTTTACCACTTGAAATGGTACCGGCTTCTCGATTTTCACCGGAATTATTTTTTCGATAGGCGTCGGTATCTTCTTCTCGACGGTTTTAATTACCTGTTTTTCCACCTAAAAAAAAAACAAAAAGCTGTTTTCAGCAAAAGGAATGATAAGGGAAGTACAGATTTTATTGCAAAAATGATAAAAAAGATAATTATCGCGTTACCTGGAATGGTACAGGCTTCGGAACTACTAGAGGAACAGGATAAGGCTGCGGGACCGTTTCCACCACTGGCTGCGGTATGTTGATCGGAATTTTCTGAACCGTCGGTATCCCTATTTCATCGTAAATATGATGCGACATAAAAATGAAATAAGTTACTTAAAGACCTTTATTAATAACAAAT